CTTCATTAAATACAAAGTCAAATTTTTTAATTATAATTATTATTTTTTATATTATATTTCTTCGTTATTACATGCATTCTATGTCTTTAAATTCCTCTTTAAATGCAATGTCAGTTCCACGCACTACAACCTCAATAATGTAAAAATACACAAAAATTTCACGTAATTTCACAGCAATTTCCAAACTTCAAAGTCCCGTGGCGCGCGAACGTCGATAAAATTCCCCTTGGTAACGTAAGGCCGGCGCAAACGGCACGAATTGCATTAAAGAAGCGATGTCTGCGCCCTCGGTGTCTCGGAAGACACGGAAATAAAGAAGATGAAAGGTTAACGAGTCGCCGCGTTTCCAGCCGATGCATTATCCAAAGTTCAAAGAAGGCCTCGGCTCGCGAAAGGGCACGCACTCCGTGTGTCTCTCCCCGGATCTTCCATTATTCCTTCGCTCACGGCGAATGGATTTTCGCCTCTTACCAAGAGAGGTGGGTGGGGGGATAAGGATTTCGTATCAAATATTTACAGCGATACGGACGATAAGGCGACGAAGTTCGTCGCTAGAGCGCGAGCGCGTCACGTTCGCCCGAGGCTTAAACTTTCAAACGTGCAACGATTGTAACACCGAAAACAAAGCCTTCTTGCTGAATTCTCCGCGCTTTTTTCCAACCTATGTTCGCGAGAGAGCAACGAAGAGTAACGAGGAGGAGGGAGAGAATGACGAAGAGGAGGGATGGCAAATAAAAATTTCTATATGTTCGGGGCAGGACCTCGAAAATTCAGGATTCGCGATATGTACAGGGTGGTCTGTTTAACACGCGTCAACCACATATGAACGACGATCCTAATTTTAAATTCTTGAGGCAAGATGTAATGGTGGAAGAATGAGTTTTTGATAGTGAATTATTTTCAAGTTAAACGAATCAAATTATCAAACAACGATGTGACAATAATAAATAGTAAATTGTTAAATTATTCTGGAGAAGTCATATATGAATACTCACATATGAGTGACGATCTTAATTTTAAATTCTTGAGGCAAGTAGAAAAATGAGTTTTTGATAGTAAATAATTTTCAAGTTAAACGAATCAAATTATCAAACAATGATGTGACAATAATAAATAGTAAATTGTTAAATTATTCTGGAGAAGTCACATATGAATACTCACATATGAGTGACAATATTAATTTTAAATTCTTGAGGCAAGATGTAATAGTAGAAAAATGAGTTTTTGATAATAAATAATTTTCAAGTTAAACGAATCAAATTATCAAACAACGATGTGACAATAATATAATAAATTATTAAATTATTCTGGAGAAGTCATAACTTTGACGCTTTAAAACGAGACCAAGTTACAAAGTTATATTGATTCAAATCATTGACAATTTTTCATTGTTACTGGTACACTCTTCACTGTACTTCTCGCTATTTTTGAGCTTGAAAATTTGAAAATTGACAAACAAATTATAATCTTCCTCTGCGAGGATTTTTTGTTTTTTGAGTTCTTGATAGCAAATTGACATATCACAGATCTCACGTGCAGAACAAACGAGACAGAAGAATCGCGGGCTGAATTTTTCCAATTTTATGTCTCTCCACGACGTCTCGAGGGCTTCTCTCGTCGAATTTTTCAAAAAGAAACTACCTCGACTTCTTATTGGCATGTTTGCTGACCAAGCAGAGTATTTTTGCTCTTTCTCCTGATAATGGGAGATCTTGAAAGGACGTGTATCCAGAGAACTCGAGGAATTTCAATCAAAATTTTTGAACTTGTATTGAACTTTGAACTTTGCACCATTTTGCTGTAGAATTTCATTTAGACTTATGTGTATCACACTTGTATCTATTGTATCTATTGTGTGTTATATTGTTACAAATATTACTTATATCACTCGAGAAGCTACTGTTGAATTCTATAGAATAATATTCTAATATATAAATATATATAAATATATATATAATATTATTATATATTATATATATAATAAAGTATAGAATTATATTTATAATATAATAGTACTAATATATTAAATATAGAATAATATATTAACATACACTAATATATTCTGTACTGTTACAGAATAATTATCTAAAATTGTATCTCACAGTAAGAATTCTGGCGAATAAAGAAAGTTCGACGAGTATTCCAAGAACGTGAAGCTGACAATGACGTTGAATGACGCTTTGAAAATGAAATTAATTCAATCTTGCTATCGAACGAACGTGGAAAAATCTCACCTGAGCAAACGTAGAGACACAGTTGCAGAAACTACCTCACAAAATCGATAGAAGTGTTCGTACATTTATTATTTTCGATTTGGATAACCTAATTAGCAGTCTAACAACCTTCGTTGATCGAACTTTGCCCGCTTTCCAAATGTTCGATTACAAAATGTGGCGAGAGCAAAAGGATGTGTTAATCCGCCAGGGCAAATATCAATTATCAAAACTAACTATCTTCTCGAATCCAATTATCAAACCAAAAAAAAAAAAAAACGAACCCGCCGTGGATATGTATATAAATTCTGAGACATCGCTGAAATGTCGTTCGTCCAGCAGCGAGAGCGAAAAATAAATACAAAGGGAAATAATGATTTCACATATTCTTGCTGGAACGCATTAGGGATGCCCATAAGTAATTTGATGTTGTGCAAAATTTCATTTTATTTAAGATGTTAATGCAGTTTCAATCTAGTATAATTTAACAATGAACACTATATATATGATATAATTACATAGTATACTATAGTATAATTTAACAATACAGTATAATTACACTATAGTATAACTTAACAATAACGCTATATATATAATGTAATTTAACAATAAGCTAAATGTCAATGTATTTAACTAGGTTATAATATAGGTTATAATAGGTTATAATATAGATTATAATAGGTTATAATAGGTTATAATATAGATTATAATAGGTTAAAACAGGTTATAATATAGGTTATAATAGGTTATGTTATAGGTTTATAATAGATTATAATAGATTATAATATAGATTATAACATAGGTTATAATATAGGTTATAGTATAGGTTACTATATAATATATTATAAGACAGGTATAGGTTACTATAGTATAGGTTACTATATAATATATTATAACACAGATTATAATATAGGTTATAATATAGGTTATAATGAGTTGGATTATTGTCACTAGATGGCAATGTCTATTAAATCTCAAGAAAACGACATTACTCACAGGACACCCCTAATATAATATAATCCGGGAAGCGGTTGGGAACGCAAACGATCCGCATAATCGCGGTAAAACCTGCAAAACCGAGGATCGCGATGCCCCGCGGAGAGGCAAAGGTCATTCATTCCGCGAGGATTACTTCATTCCTCTTCGACTTTCGAGGCGCACGCGAATTCCACGACGTTCCATGTCCGTTCAATTGAAAATCCCGATAGGTTCGCGGGCGCCCATCGAAGGTGACCTCCCTTTTCCCCCGCCCTTTAACCTATTCATCGTCAGCCCCGGTACCATGATTCCGCCCTGGAATCCGAAGGCCATTCTGAACATGCACACACGTGCATGCACGCCCCGATCCAATAAACGAGCACCGGAGTCAATTGTGTATGTTAAAATATTCCGCGTGCCCGGCTTTCAACGACAGGATGGGCTTGCTGGGCTTGAAGAGGCAGGGGGAGGAATGAAAGACGTACAGTTTGACGTACAGCGAGTGGAAGAATTGCAAAGGCTACGTGTTTCACCGCTACTTTACTTTATTCGACGCGGTCGTTAAAGGAAGACGTAAATTTTCATGGGCATTTTTTGCCAGGGATCTCTTTAAGTTCCAGGGGACTTCGCTGCGCGGAGATAGCGAAGGTTTGTATTAACTTCCTCGGTGCCCAGGACAGGATATCTCGCTATTGTGTTTGTCACATGGACGAGAAATCTCGTCGCAGTGATGTTGGTTGTATAGAATCATGGGCGAAAAATTCTTTCAATAGGAGAAGATATCTTCAATAGGCGAGATATCACGGCCTTGATGGTGCTGCAAAAATGACACCGATGGCAGCGATGTTTCTCGTTCATGGTACTGCTAATGTGACAAACACGAGATAGCGAGATATCTTGTCTAAGGTAGCGGAGAGATTAAATAAAAACGTTGAAAGGATTTGGACAAAATGATACGAGTGATTTTTATGACTATTCGTCATCCTGAGGGATGATTTTCGAAGGAATGTTTGATGTGTTTGATTGATTGTGCATTGTTCGAAGTGAAGAAGTGCGAACAGAAATCAATGTCTTAACTAAAAGAAATATCTTAATTGTGTTATAGTACGCGCATATGGTTTCATAATAAGATTAAAAAAATATATATATTGTACAAATGAACTGTGGATTAATAATACGATTAAAGAAAATGTGTATTCTCAACATACTGCATGTATTGTAATGTATTGTACATACTGTGAAACATGTATTATATTATAATACATATTATAATATTATTATATATTATATTATATTATATTATATATATTGTACATGTAACGTATTATATGTATTGTAATGTATTATACATACTGTAAAATATGTTTTGTATTGTAATATATTATATACATTGCATACATAATGTATTGCAACGTATTGTATGTATCGTAATGTACATTGTACATATTGTAAAATATGTATTGTATTGTAATATATTATGTGCATTGTATACATAATATATTGCAACATTATAAAATATGTATTATAACATATAACTTATGTATATATATATATGTGTCTTGAACATTTGAAAAGTTGGCGCTTCAAACATGGCGGAATGAATTGCACTTATCTATATTTTGAACATTTAAAAAGTTGGCAGAATGAATCTCTGATTCGCCAAAATAAATTTAAACTGCGCTATACCGTAAATGCTCTGACAATCAAAAAATTCGTACGATACTGCAAACTTGCATATTCTACCAAAAACCATCCTTATTGTACACTGACAACAATAAATTCAGGCATAAAATACATATACAAACTCACCTAACCTCCATCAACTTCTTCCACCCTAAAAGATACTTCCTCCGAAGATATTTCCTCCTCTCCAGTAAGGACTCGGCAGTACTTTGACCTCCATAGTGTCAACTCGAAGCAGTATTAACAATTGTCATTACAACTGTCCACAAATTTCACAACGGAGGCAATAATTGAACTGAATTTATTGAAAAAATAAATGAAAACCACACGCTTTAAGTCACCGACGGCAATAATTCACTCAACTGTCAGTCGCGTGATGTCACGTCACGTGACTCGCCGACGAAACACGCGTCACGTGACCTCACCCGCGAAACACGAGTCACACAACGCGCCAAATTCGAATTCGAATTCGATTCCTACCGCATCATTCAGCAACGCAGAAGCGATTTATTCCCGATCGAGGCGTCTCTCGATTCGTTCGCCGGTTGATCGACGAGCCGGTGGACATAACGTGGCCGTGATAAAGGCAGGAAATTTGCCAGAACAGTTTTGAAATCGGCAAGCCCGAAACGGGGACGAAAGTGACGAGTGCCAGGGAAACAGCGTCGCCAGCGACGTTTAATTGGACGAATATTTGCGATAGAACGCGTGCGATCACCTGTTGCACCGACAGAAGGCACGCGCTAATAGCAGCCCAGGCGAAATAAATTCTCTCGTCAAGACAGATTTGACGCGGGTATTTGCTTTGCGGGACAAGTTTAGAGTTGAAACTCGTCGTTCGAAAACGGGCGAGGCAACGCAACGACGCGATGTTTACCGAGTGAAGGACGCGGATTAACTGACTTCGCGAGGACTCGATAGAGGTTGTGGTACGGGTTGAAAATTGGTGGGGTGATCGGGAACGATGGAAGGGGAAACTCTGGTGGATCCGATAATTTATGTAGGATTATAGTTTACACAGTTCTATTATCTTTTCCATTTTAACACATACGACATTAATTGTTGAATTTTATAAAACGACTTGTAAAATGAAAGATATATTGTACAGTATAATATATTAAGTCACTCAGGAAAGTATTCGAACGTTTAGGAATTTTTTATGAATATGAAATATGATACAGGTATGAGTAGACTGTGGATTTTTAATTTTAAAATTAGCAAAATTTTAAAATTCTTCGAATATTTTCGTGATCCACCGTATTTTATAAGTAAAAATTATCCTACCATTTTCTTTCAAATTTCTTAACAATTATATCGCATTTTCTCCATCCAATCTCGTGCGAAATATCCGAAAAGAATCGTATGGTTACACATTAATTTTCCCCCCCGTGCGTCAACCTTTTTACACCACCACCTGTTGTCCAGATTCTTCAACTGTCCCAATAAAAAGCAATGCTCGGTGCGGAGAATGCGATCCGCAATTCTCATCGAAACGACGATGGAATTAGAGAAAGGCGTGGTGGACAAATGGGTGGTGGAACACCCTTGGAGGAGGTGGTCGGTTGGAGCTCGTCTACAGTGTTGCCAGAGTAGACGTTAAGGGGAGTATTTCTTAATTAGCGGCTCGCCTCGAAAAACGAGGCGTTTCGAGCCAAGTTAGCCGCTCCTTCGATGCGCCAAGCCCCTTACAAGCATCTCGTAGATCACGATTTGCTTTAAGTGCCTTGAGGTTCCTTAAGCTCGATGGAGACGAGGAGACCGAGGAGCTTGTTTCGAACGCGTCGCCACAGGCACGTTGTACGTTGATCGCTCGATTTAGATGTTGATGAAGATACGCACAGTGGAGGTGGTAAACAAATTACCAGCGGTGTGTTTTTCAAATGAACATGGCGGAAATGATGAATTGAGAGTTCATTAAGAATTTTTAAGTTTCATAAAATTTCAGTACGAACGTTCGAAATCATTTTTAACATTCCATCTAATATTTCTAAATATAGAATCACTGAATTGTCTTTGAAGTTAGTGAGGAAATAATTTAACTGTAACAATATTACGATTTTTCCAGTGTAACTTGTTACTTCTTTTTTTTTTTTTTTTTGACGAGTTGATCGACGTAGAAATTATCATAAAATTTCAGTACGAACGTTCAAAATTATTTTAAATATTCCATCTAATATTTTTAAATATAGAATTGTCAGAAATCTTTGAAGTCACTCAGAAAATAATTTGTAAATGTACAATATTACGACTTTTTCAGTGTAACTCATTTTTTTTTTTTTTGTACATCAGACAAGTTGACTGATGTAGCATCATTTAACTTCCGATTATTAATAGCGTGGCGATGTTTATTACTTGCAGAGGCACGTTATTGTGAATTTAATAGAACCCGCGCACAGATAGCCCGATCAGAATCCCCTTTCCCCCATACCGTATCGGGTAAACGAATCGAATACCACGAGTAAATGTAGCAAGATAGCAGTTCGCTAAGTAAACGGAGATGTACTTGATGGTCACCAGGAAATAAATAGCCCCGGTTACGGAAATTACGAGATCCTCGGCAGGAATTCGACGTTATCCGTATATTAACCACGGAAAATCGACCGGCAAACGAAGAAACTTCTTGATAAAACGTGTTCATTTCGCTTGCGGGACGTCGACATTTGTCTTATCAGGAAATTGTGATTTCTGGCAGCATCTAACGACGACAAATTCGAACGACGACGAATACACGTGTTCTACGTCTAAAATAGAGAAGCATTTTTCAACCAGCTCGTAGATTCAACGTAAACAAGAGAGATGTCGACGAAATTTTGCACATTAAGTAATAACGTTAGATGATAATCCATCTGTCGCCATCATCGCCTTTTTACGTATTGTTAAATTAACAAAAACATGTGTTCTCTTCATATGGGAGCCCTGACATGGGGTGCTGATTGTTCTCAATACGAGGCAATGATAAAAATGATAAGAATTTTAATTGTAATTACACTTTCTTCTTGAAATCGTTTCTTATTCTTTTTTATTTGTTCTTATTCCTTGAAATTGATAGTGCGCGATGCAACAACGTTATTTTAAGCTAGGTTACAAATTAAAAATAAGTATGTCTCGCGAGTCCCCAGTTTCTTATTTTCTCTTCTGAGAAAGACGAATTTCAATTTACATAATTAATTCTATAATAGTGTTTGATTTGAAAAATACATTTCGATAAAGTCGTGTTTCTATGGGAAGACCATAACATTATTAATATTATTATATAGCAGACTATAATATTATTAATATTATTATAACATTATTAATATTATTATATAGCAGACTATTTATATTATTAGTTGTGGTAAAAATTTTAATTGTAATTATATTTTCTTATTGAAATCGTTTCTTATTCTTTTTTACTTGTTCTTATTCCTTAAAATTGATAGTGCGCGATGCAACAATGTTATTTTAAGCTAGGTTACAAATTAAAAATAAATATGTCTCGCGAGTTCCCAGTTTCTTATTTTCTCTTCTGAGAAAGACGAATTTCAATTTACATAGTTAAACGTTCTATAATAGTGTTTGATTTGAAAAATACATTTCGATAAAGTCGTGTTTCTATGGGAAGATCATAATATTATTAATATTATTATATAGCAGACTATAATATTGTTATTACATAATATTATTATTTATAATATTAAACGATATTAATGAATATTTATACAACTCTCGTTCTTCTGTTCTACTCGAAAAAGAAAGGATTACTCAGGCGCGAAATACATAAAAAAAAAAAGAAAAAGAAAAGGGAGTTGAATGTAACATCAAAATCGCGATAGAGAATCTATTTCGACGACTGAAATCGAGGATCGATGGAGAGACGAGGTTAAAGGGGGCGCGATAATGAAAATCCATCCTTTCAATATCTCTTCGATGGATATCGACGGGGAGAAAGTACAGAGGAGTGGGCAAAAAAAGAGAAAACTGCCTGGAAACGAGAAACGACGAGTCGTGTCGAAGCGGAAAATGGAATGCAGCAGCTTTGTATTCAATTGTTTCGCCTAAATTTATTTCCGACGAAAAAAAAAAAAAAAGAAAAGAGAAAAAAAGGAAAAGTTGCTTCGCCGAAGCCAAACTGAAATCTAAAAAAAAAAAAAAAGAGAGAGAGAAAAAAGAAGAAAAAAAAATAAAAGAGCGAAACCTAAAAAAAAAACAGAACACGCGAGAAAGGAAGTTGGAATGAGAATGGAAAAGGGATGAAAATGGTAACTCCTAGAAAACTCATCGACCTGTATACACTGACAAGTGCACGAGCATTTGGATAGTTCTAAATTATTGTACAAAGTATAATTTAAACGAATCTCTGAGACTCTGGAACAATCAACCTTTGTTACACGTTGAAAATCTCATACGTACGTTATAATTTAAATGAGATGAACGAATAGGTTCATATTTACATTTATTGCATTTCCGTCCAAAGAGAAATCAATATTTCTGCAAAAATAAGCGTATCTAAAATTCATTATTTTAACTATTTTAGTTAATTTTAATTTACACACTACAGTTGATAGATATTGATAAAGAGAGTGGCTGGTATTATAATATTAATTAGATGGCTGAAGATTCCAGAGATGATTTTAAGTACTACATGTTTGTTCGTTGTTGAAATTTTCGAAATATAATGATTGAAATACAAAGTGTTTCTACATTGAAGAACTTCATGTACAGATATTATGTAGAATGCATCAGCGAAAGCATTTGTCAAATTAATAAGTAAACAGAAAAAGGAACGTTCATCGATTAAACAAGAAATATCATCGACAAGCTATTAAGCTATTAAAATTAACAAGCTATTAAGCGTCCAATTATTTATTTATGCACGGTAGTGTTCACTAACCTCTTGCCCTGTGACAAACTATTCTACATTGTTCAACATTTTTCAAGGAATAACAGTCGAGTTTAGCTGTAAAATAAATCGTGAAACGAAATGTTAATTTTTTTCAAAAAAGAAAAAAAAACAAAGAAAGAAAGAAAAACGAAGTATGAGAAACAGACGAAAGAAATACAGACAAAAAGATCAAATCGAGACACGTGGAATAATTATGGTGACTACTGGGCTTCCGTTTGGCTCGTGCACGATATCGGTTTCCGGCTTTGTTTCCACGTTCGACTCTCTCGCTTACCATTTTTTTCTTTTTTTTTTTTTTTTTGGGGCCTTATAGGTCGTCGATTGCTCGGCAATTTTGCATATCGAGCGCCGCCGGCTATTATTTGAGCGTCGACACCGAAAAGCTCGTTTTTCCAGGCTCTCAATGATGGACAATCGATCAGTCACCGTGCACCGTCGATGTGAACGAACCGT